GTTCAGCCTGGTCAAGGTGGTCAATCACAAACTGGCACTCAACTTCCTGGCTCATCAACGGATCCTTCTGCAAGTACTACTGCAACGGATCCCTCAGTTCAGCCTGGACAAGGTAGTCAAGGTGGTCAATCACAAACTAGCACTCAACTTCCTTGCTCATCAACGGATCCTTCTACAAGTACTACTGCAACGGATCCCTCAGTTCAGCCTGGTCAAGGTAGTCAAGGTGGTCAATCACAAACTGGCACTCAACTTCCTGGCTCATCAACGCATCCTTCCACAAGTACTACTGCAACGGATCCCTCAGTTCAGCCTGGACAAGGTGGTCAAGGTGGTCAATCACAAACTTGCACTCAACTTCCTGGCTTATCAACTGATTCGTCCACTAGTACTACTGCAACGGATCCCTCAGTTCAGCCTGGTCAAGGTAGTCAAGGTGGTCAAACACAAACTGGCCCTCAACTTCCTGGCTCATCAACGGATACTTCTGCAAGTACTACTGCAACGGATCCCTCAGTTCAACCTGGACAAGGTAGTCAAGGTGGTCAATCACAAACTGGCACTCAACTACCTGGCTCATCAACAGATCCTTCTACAAGTACTACTGGATCGGATCCCTCAGTTCAGCCTGGTCAAGGTAGTCAAGGTGGTCATTCACAAACTGGCACTCAACTTCCTGGCTTATCAACGGATCCATCCACAGCAACGCATCCCTCACTTCAGCCTGGTCAAGTTGGTCAAGGTGGTCAATCACAAACTGGCACTCAACTTCCTTGCTTATCAGCGGATCCTTCTACAAGTACTTCTGCAACGGATCCCTCAGTTCAGCCTGGTCAAGGTGGTCAATTACAAATTGACACTCAACTTCCTTGCTTATCAACGGATCCATCCACAGCAACGGATCCCTCAGTTCAGCCTGGACAGTGTGGTCAAGGTGGTCAAACACAAACTGGCACTCAACTTCCTGGCTCATCAATGGATCCTTCTACAAGTACTACTGCAACGGATCCCTCAGTTCAGCCTGGCCAAGGTAGTCAAGGTGGTCAAACACAAACAGGCACTCATCTTCCTGGCTCATCAACGGATCCTTCTACAAGTACTACTGCAACGGATCTCTCAGTTCAGCCTAGTCAAGGTAGTCAAGGTGGTCAAACAGGCACTCAACTTCCTGGCTCATCAACAGATCCTTCTACAAGTACTACTGCAACGGATCCCTCAGTTCAGCCTGGTCAAGGTGGTCAAGGTGGTCAGACACAAACTGGCACTCAACTTCCTGGCTCATCAACGGATCCTTCTATGAGTACCACTGCAACAGATCCCTCAGTTCAACCTGGACACGGTGGACATGGTGGTCAAACACAAACTGGCACTCAACTTCCTGGCTTATCAACGGATCCTTCTACAAGTACTACTGCAACGGATCCTTCAGTTCAGCCTGGACAAGGTAGTCAAGGTGGTCAATCACAAACTAGCTCTCAACTTCCTTGCTCATCAGCGGATCCTTCTACAAGTACTACTGCAACGGATCCCTCAGTTCAGCCTGGTCAAGGTAGTCAAGGTGGTCAATCACAAACTGGCACTCAGCTTCCTGGCTCATCAACGGATCCTTCTACAAGTACTACTGCAACGGATCCCTCAGTTCAGCCTGGACAAGGTGGTCAATCACAAACTGGCACTCAACTTCCTGGCTTATCAACGGATCCATCAACGGCAACAAATCCCTCAGTTCAGCCTGGACAGTGTGGTCAAGGTGGTCAAACACAAACTGGTACTCAACTTCCTGGCTCATCAACAGATCCTCCTACAAGTACTACTGCAACGGATCCCTCAGTACAAGCTAGTCAAGGTGGTCAAGGTGGTCAATCACAAACTGGCACTCAACTTCCTGGCTCATCAACGGATTCTTCTACAAGTACTACAGCAACAGATCCCTCAGTTCAGCCTGGTCAAGGTGGTCAAGGTGGTCAAACACAAACTGGCACTCAACTTCCTGGCTCATCAACGGATCCTTCTACAAGTACTACTGCAACGGATCCCTCAGTTCAGCCTGGTCAAGGTGGTCAAGGTGGTCAATCACAAACTGGCACTCAACTTCCTGGTTCATCAACGGATCCTTCTACAAGTACTACTGCAACGGATCCCTCAGTTCAGCCTGGTCAAGGTGGTCAATCACAAACTGACACTCAACTATCTGGCTCATCAACGGATCCTTCTACAAGTACTACTGCAACGGATCCCTCAGTTCAGCCTGGTCAAGGTGGTCAATCACAAACTGGCACTCAACTTCTGGCTCATCAACAATCCCTTTTTACAAGCACTTACGTACTGCAACGGATCCCTCAATTCAGCCTGGTCAAGGTAGTCAAACACACACTGCACGTCAACTTCTTGGCTCATCAACGGCCTCCTTCTACAAGTACTACTGCAACATATCCTTCAGTTCAGCCTGG